TTGATTAAATACAAAGTTTATTGCCTGAACTGGGCTTCTGTCTTTGAGGGGGAATTTTATCATTTCATGCATTTTATTTTTCCTACGAGATCGGGCGTTGATCTTGTGTTCGTGTATGAACATTATAATTTTGAATTCGAGCTTTTATTATAGTTTAGAGTTCGGTTGTTAGTGTAGGTTACATGTCGCAATCATTTAACTCACAGCTCGAGTGTGTGTAATAGTTCGGGTGTGCTGCTTAACAATACTTATCGTTGGAACTATGGGTATATCGATCCTTTAAACAATACTGATCGTTGGGCATCAATTTCAAAGTTCGACGGTGTATTGTTGGGGCAACTAGTTTGTGCACTAGTGTTGTGTAGTAATTCGTTTCTTTGTTTACATCGAGAGGCAAACAATTGGTTGTTGATGAATTAAAGGAAATGTCGGACTTGGTCATATAAGGGGCAGTTAATTCGTTTCTTTGTTTACATCGAGAGGCGACCAATTGGTTGTTGATAAATTAAAGGAAACGCCGGACTTGGTCAAATGAGGGGCAGTTATATTATGCCCCAAACTCGATCTCAGAATTCATGCTTGATTGAGCATTTTGGGATCGATAAGGTCGGGGATGGTTATGCGAGGGGTAGCTATATAATGGCCCGAACTCGATCTCGGGATTCTTTCTTTGCTGGTCATTTTAGGATTGATCAGGTCAGGTTTGTATGCCCGACCTATTGGCTGCATGCGTGGGGCACGGCCTTATGCTAATTTTGTAAAGGTATTAGCTGCATGCACGGGGCACGGCCTTATGTTAATTTTGTAATGGTATTAGTTGCATGCACGGGGCACGGCCTTCTACTAATTTAACAGGGAATTAACATCATAAAGAAAATTCTATGTGCTATCAAAAGGGCTCAAGGGCGTTTGATACCCGAGCTTATTCGAGCATGAGCTAACAGGGCATTAGAGCCTGAAAAGTAAAAAGGAAATTAAGCAATCATAAAGTGGGCATACAAGCCCTAAAGGAAAATTATAGTTATAGCTAGTCACTTGTAATATATTTTTAGATTATTGGCATTCCATGGCCTTGGGAGTGGTTTCCCCGATGTGTCTCTGAGGCTATAGGCTCCATCTTTAAGTTTTCTTATGACCTCGTAGAGTCCCTCCCATGTCGATCCGAGTTTCCCTAGTTGGTGTCCGGCGGCTTCTGCTTTTCTAAGGACAAGATCGTCAGCTATGAACCTCCTTATCTGAACCTTCTTGTTGAAGTGCTTCGCCGTTCTGTTTTGATAACTCGCAGCCCTAAGTGAGGCTTGCTCCCTTACCTCTTCACGAAGTCAAGGTGCTTAGTAGTTTGCGTCTTCCTATTTGTCTCAAGCTTTCTTATTGTGGGGAGGCTAACCTCAATTCGGATGGTCGCCTCAAGTCTAAAGGCAAGCATGAAGGGCGTTTCACCAGTTGCTGTCTTGTGCGAAGTTCTCTATGCCCATAGTATTGAAGGCAATTCGTCAGGCCAGTCACCTTTGGCATCCCCTATCCTTGTTCGGAGGTCCTGCAATATGATTCGATTAGTTACTTCGGCTAGCCCATTACTTTGTGGGTGTGATACCGAGGTCAAGCGATGATCAATCCCATTGTTGGCACAGAAGTTCTTGAACTGGGGATTGTCGAATTACCTTCTGTTATCTGTGATGAGGACTCTTGGTATCCCAAACCTGCATATGACAGACTTCCATATAAATGACCTAAGCTTCGGCTCTAAAATTGTTGCTAGAGGCTCGGCTTCTACCCACTTTGTGAAATACTCCACTACCACAACTACAAATTTTAATTGTCCTCGGGCCAAGGGGAATGGCCCAAGAATATCAACTCCCCATTGTTTGAAAGGAGTTGAGTAGTGAATGGATGTTAGTTCCTCAGCAGGAGCATGTATGACGTGGCCATACTTTTGGCACTTGTCGCACTTCCGGACGTAATCTGTGGCATATTTCTTCAAACTTGGCCAGTAGTATCCATACCTTATCAACTTATATGCAAGAGCTCGGGCTCCCTGTTGATTTCCACAAATGCTTTCGTGAACTTCAGTCATTGCTTGAAGAGATTCGAAAGTTTTGAGACATCTTAGATAGGGGAGTGTGAAAATCCTGCGGAATAGGACTCTTTCGATTATACAATATCTGGCAGCTCTATATTGAATGCTTAAGGCAAGTGGAGGGTCTGCAGGAATGGTGCCGTTACTTATGTAATCAACTATCAGATCCATCCAGGAGGGCTCATGGTCAATGTCCATGACACTTGGCTTTTGAGCTATGCTTGGTTCTACGACCATTTTGATGTGCACGATTCTATCGAGCCCGTCCACACCCATGAAGACGAGTTTGGATAATGCATCAGCTTTGGCATTTTCGACTCTGGCTACCTTCAGAATTTCACAACTTACGAACTGCCTCTGGAGGTCATGCACTTTCAAACAATATAAGCTCATTTTTCATCTTTTCTTTCGAAAGACCCCTCGATTTGCCCGACCACTAGCTATGAGTCACTGAAAACTTTGAAGCGCTCTCACTCAAGATTTTTCTTGAGTTCCAAGGCTATAACAACGACTTCATACTCTACTTCGTTATTGGTAGCTTCGAATTCAAATCTGAGAGCACATTGTATCTCCGTAGTTTTGTCCAAACTTGTGATGATGATACCAGCCCTCGAGCTCGAGCTATTGGATGCTCCGTCAACAAAAATCTCCCATATTTCTAAGGTCGAGTTCGAGCCCTTAGCCGGTGTTTCTGAGGATCTCGGAGTAAGCTCTGCTATGAAGTTGGCTAAAGCTTGGGCCTTGAGTGCAGGTCGTGGCTTGAACTCTATGTCAAATTCGCCGAGTTCAATTGCCCATTTCAGCAGTCTTCCTAAAATATCCGGCTTCTGAAGTATATGTTTGAGATGTTGGTTGGTGAGCACAACATTTGGATGTGACTGGAAGTACGGTCGTAATTTTCTGGCAGCTATTACTAAAGCAAGGGCGAGTTATTCCGCAAGCGTGTATCGTGTTCTACATCGAGGAGCACTTCACTTACATAGTAAACATTGCTGAACTCTTCCTTTTTCCTTTAGCAAGACACCGCTTACTGCGTTCTGAGAAACGGCCAAGTATAATAGCAACGTGTCACCGGGTTCGGGTTTAGTAAGGACTGGAGGCGTTGATAATGTCTGCTTGAGCTCCTGAAAAGCTAGGTTGCATTTCTCGTTCCAGTCGAACCCTTTATTTCCCCTAAGTAGTTTGAAAAAGGGGAAACACCTGTTTGTTGCCTGAGAAATAAACATGTTCAGTGCTGCTATGCGACCTGTCAACTTTTGAATGTCCCTTTTGCACTTAAGGGCTTCCATACTTATCAGAGCTTAGATTTTATCAGGATTTGCCTCTATTCCTCTCTGTGTGATCATAAAACCCAAGAATTTTCCAAATGCCACCCCAAGCACACACTTTACCAAGTTGAGCTTCATGTTGTACCTCCGTAACGTAGCAAACACTTCCTCTAGATCAGAAACATGACTATTCAACTGTTTGCTCTTAACCACCATATCATCTACATATGCTTCGACAGTTTTCCCAATTAGCTTGGCGAAGATCTTGTTCACTAACCTTTGATATGTTGCTCCAGCATTCTTTAGTCCGAAGGGCATGACCCTGTAGCAATAGATAGCTGAATCTGCCATGAATGAGGTCTTCTCTTGATCTTCTTCTGCCATGAGAATTTGGTGATACCTCGAGAAAGCATCCAAGAAGCTGCATAGCATATGACCTGACGTGCTATCTACCAGATTGTCAATTCGAGGTAAGGGATAACTGTCTTTGAGGCATGCTTTATTCAGATCTGTGAATTCAATGCAAACTCGCCACTTTTCGTTAGCTTTCTTGACAAGAACCACGTTGGCAAGCCATTCGGGATATTGTACTTCTCGAACGAACTGTGCGTTAACAAGTTTAGCAATCTCCTCTTTTATGACTTCTCGTCTTTCTAGTGCAAACCGCCTCTTCCTTTGCTTCACAGGTCTTGCTTCCGGGTCTACGTTAAGTCTATGTACTGAAACCTCTGGATCAATCCCAGGCATGTCCTCAACATTCCAAGCGAATACATCAATGTTGCGGGAGAGACAACTTAGGAGTTCAGACATGACCGCAGTATCTAACCCCCGACCAATTGTGACTTTTCTTCTAGGCTCGATCTCGACCTCTTCCAATCCTTCCACCGGAGCCAGCCTCCCGTGATTTTCGTGCTCGAGCTCGAGCTCTATAACTTGCATGACGTCTTTTTTTTCGAACACTAGTCACATAACACTGTCGGGCCACCGTTTGGTTACCTCGGACTACCCCGATTCCATTAGAAGTAAGGAATTTCATAGCCAGATGGAAAGTTGAGACAATAACTTGAATTCTGTTGAGAAGTGGTCTTCCCAATGTGGCGTTGTAAGCCATTGGCGTACGGAGTGATTTGCGTCACCTGTTTACCTTCGACCCTCAATGTTAAGGGTAACCCGATGATACCTTCCAGGGTAATGACCCCACCTCCAAATCCTTGGAGGGGTGTTTTGATTGGCTTGAGTTGCTCTGATGAGATCCCCATTTGAACAAAGACTTCATGAGACAGTACGTTTACTGCACTTTCGTTATCTACCAGAATTATCTTGACTTCAAAGTTGGTGATGATGGCCGATATGACAAGGACATCATCATGAGAGAACGCTATGCCTTCCAAGTCATCCGTTCCAAAAATGATGTCCTTTGTACGGCCAAGATCTGGTCTCGAGATGATTGGAGGCTACCTGGCATACTGTTTACACGCGCTGCTAGAATCTCCTCCTGAGGCTGTTCCTCCAACAATGATATTGATAGTGCCTGCAGTTGGTTGCTTGTTTCCCCGATCTTCTGGGCCTTTGCCTTCGTTCGGATTATTCCTCGAGCACTTGTCATTGCTAATGTAAGAGCTCAGAAATCCCCTTTTTATAAGAGCTTCGATTTCCTACTTTAAGGCCTGACAGTCTTTCGTTGTATGCCCGTGATCTCTATGGAAATCACAGTATTTACTCTTGTCACGAGTATCGGGGAGAGACCGCAATCGGGAAGGCCACTTCAATTCCCTAGAGTCCTTGATTTTCATCAGGATGTTGGACCTTGAAGTACTCAAATGGGTAAAAGATGTTGAACGTGGATCCTTCCTTGGTTTGACCCTAAGTGTCTCTTGTTTCAAGCTGGACTCATGCGGCCTTTTCTGATCCAACCTTCCTGATGAGGTAACTTTCCTTTTTGGGGCCATGGTTTCTTCCATATTGATGTACTTCTCAGCCCGTGTAAGTAGCTCGGTGACTGACTTCGACGGGGTCTTAGACAAGGACATCTTGAATGCTTCGTACTTAATGGCGTATGCTAGAGCTGAGACAGCGGCTGTGATATGTAGATCGGGGATTTGAAGCCTTTCTTTATTGAACCTGGTCATGAAACTGCGCAGTGTTTTGTTGGGTCCTTGACGCATCTGCATGAGTGATGTGGCTGTCTTTCTGATTCGCTTGCTGCTCGCAAAGAAAGCGAAGAACTTATCAGCCAAATCTGAGAAGGAGGTGATGGAGTTCGGTTCCAATGTGGAAAACCAATCTCTGGCTGCGTTTGTGAGGATTTGGGGGAATGCCTTGCACATTACTGCATCAGGTGCAACCTGTAAGTTCATGATATCCGTGTACACATTGAGACGATTGATGGGGTCGGTTATCCCATCGTACTCCTTTATCCGAGGATACTTGAACCTATTGGGAAGGGGATACGAGAGGACTTCTGGAGTGAATGGTGTATTGGGGGTGAACCCTATTGCTGCCTGAGTATTTTGTTGCATACCCGCTGCTACCCCTTCTTAAATAATTCTACCAAAAGCCATGGTCAATATACGTTCAGGTCTTCCTCCAGCGAGCTCATCCGTCCCGGATAACCCTCCTCCTCTTGAGGAATGCCATATCCCTCAAGAACAATCGTCGGAGATGCCAGCACCTCCTCAAGCTGTTGTTTTCATCGAAGCTTTTGAGGAACTTCGTCAGCAGGTGGCTACATTAACCCAATTGTTAAGCCAAAGAAATTCGCACCCGTCACATACCCTAACCCCTAAAGGTGGCTTTATGGCAGATGCCCGGGCTCGAGTCCGTCATGCAGCCCATGATGACGGTGGGGTTGGAACTTCAGGTGTACCACAAGTGGCATCAGGTTCAAGGTCCGTTACAATGGACTCCATTGAACTTACTAGAATTACGGCATCATGATGCTACCAAAAAATATTACCTAAAAGATCTCGAACTTGATGATCGAACTTCAGACTGATGAACACGAATGGTCTTTGAATACCTGCAACAAAGGCAACGAGGTGTGTGTTCGTCGCCCTTCCGATGCTTAAGTCAGATAGGAAATTTAGTGCGTGAGACTATAAACTGAAGATAATAAAAAACATACCTCAAGAATGAGCACATGTTGTGTATTTATAGGTGTTAACGGTGGAGTCCTAGAAGGACTTATTCTGTTACGATCCTTATCCTCATAGGAAAAGGAGTTAGTGTTTTACCTCAAGTATTCAAATCACTATTTGAGTCAAAGAAGGAGTCTAACAGGGTATGGATTGTAGTCAAAGTAGGATAAGTGTTCACATAGATCGTATAGAAAGGCAGACGAGTCGACATACGTGCCCTGACCTCAAATGCCCGACCTTGTTTTGGTGTTTTTAGGGGGTATTGAGGTTAGGGTTTATGATGTGATCGGGGTTCATGGGTCGAGTTCGGGATTGACAAGATCTGAGATCATCAGTGACCAATGAAATAAATTGTGACATAAATTTTTTAATTTGTGGTCTCGAAATAATCTGTAATCAATTAATTTGATAATATGTGATCAGTAAATAAGTTGTAACATATAATTATATAATTGTGACCCCGTTTTTGTCTTATTTTTGGAAGAATGAGAATAAAAAATATAATCGTTACGGACCCCACAAAAAATATAGAAATTCAAATTTGGTGGTTTGATGTGATAAATAACGATCATATTTTTCATTTTAATGAGAAAAGAATGAGAACCAAACAGGGATTATATTTAATTAATAAAATATTTTTAATTAATAAATAATTACGTGATTTTTGCATCTTAAGATCTGAAAATTAATTTGGTGATACTTAATACCTGATTTATGATTTTTTTTCCCTTTAATTATTTCATACTTTCATCAATAAAAAAATCTATTATTTTAAACACACTCTTTATTTAGAAAAAAAAAATTGCCCTAAGCAGTTCGGATCGTACTGTTCTCAAGTCCGAGTGACGTGCGGGTACCTCAAGTCCACGTAGCCGGATCCGTTAATGGGTGGGCCAATTTTATCCGTTTATCTCATCTCCCGCTATCTGCAACTGTTTCCCTAGAAAATGGTAGTTCCTGCTTTTCAAATCTGTACACAGTTTCCGGGTCTCTTCGGGTTTAGAAGGTAAACCCATTGCCCGCATCTTCCAGCAGCTTGAAAACTCGCATTGCTTTTTTCTCATTCTTTTAGTATATTTATTTTCTGGGTTCATCAATAGCTATGCAGATTTTTGGTAAGAACATGTCGATTTCATAGCGGGGATTTTTATTAATTTTTGATTTACTTTGAACTTTATTCTTATATTATGTACTGGCAATTAACTGTGCAGCCTGTATGAAAACCTAAAAATATGGATCACGATCAACTCATGAATATATATTTAAAAAAAAAAAAAAAGCATTAGGAACTCGCGTTTCACAAGGAATATCGTGAACTTGTACTACTAGTATCTGGAATTTTAACCGGAGGGTTGATCAATGCTTTGGTACCGGGATGGTCCTTGAAGGCCACGGATGTCTACTTTTTGTGGGTTGCATCAACCACTATAAAATGTTAAGATACTAGGGAGATGCCATATGTATTCGTATAAATCTTGTGTTCAACACGCCATCTTACATGTAGGCTGGATTCAATTTTAAATCATACATCTATAACATGATCAAAGTTTACATAAATGAGCGACCTCGAGATTTGAACCTAGATTTTGCTTGGTTTGAAACCATGTTTACCACCTCATCTAGAAGCTTAAATTATTAGGAAGGACTATATGAATTTATTAAAGTCTTGTCTTAAACATGCTGCACTTGTTATTATCTCGGAGGCCAATCTAAGTGGGTTAAATTAAAGATGATGCTTAGTCATATGTTGATTGCTATTAGATTTTGAGTTGAAAAAAGTCTACTAACAAGTATAGTTGAAAATGTCTGAATCTTAATCAGAAAATAGGGTAAAGACTGCTACCTCTACATGAATTTGAGTAATTGTTGTATTTTGTGGGGCTTTCTTTTGTAATCAGGCTAGAAATTCTGTTGGGTTGTGTATCTCATGAATACAATTTATAGCATAAGTTTGAACTTCAAATGCAAATATGAAACGTAGTCATGAGAAGCTATGACAAATTGGCATCACTAGGCATGAATTTCTCATTCTTAGCACTTTCAAAACCCGTGTAAAACTCAATCAAAGTTGGCATAGAAAGATGCAAATCATTTTTATGCTTTTTAGTGATATTTTGGTTGCAGACACCCATTACAGAAGGCATAACCTGACCTGAGACCTTTTTCAAGACTACAGGGTCACAAAACCAAAGGAATTCAAGGTTGCTGTGCAAAAGAACTTGGAATACAAATTGCCTTCTTTTGTAGATAAAATGGAGCCAAGACGGTCAATTTTGCATCTGATAGGAGTTAATCTCATCTTCAGAAATGTGTGTGCCGTTCTAGCTGCACCAGTGCAGGAGATGCAAGAACCTGAAGTGATAAGGTAACTGTTTCTTGCACGTGTTTTCTGCTTTTATGTTGCTCATTCAAGGGCAACAATATATGTAGAGGTTGTAGTTCTAGTACTGGGTACTGTCATTAGTTCTTATATTTTGCTACTCTGAATTTATCCAGGACTCTGAAGCTAGGAAATGGAGTGAGGATACAAGGTAAGTAATTCTTAAAGTTGATGTCGTAAATTCATTGCAGGTAATATTAAAGGCATATGGAAGTGCCATCCCAAGTTCTAAAATTGTGGTGTTCATTTATAATGTCTGATGTAAATTTCTGGTTATTTGTTAAAGACATCCTTGAAGGGGAAGGAAAAGAAGCTCAAGAGGGCGATGTAGTAGAATTTAATTATGTATGTCGGCGATCGAATGGATACTTTGTTCATAGGTATGATTTTATATCCTGCTTGGAAATTCTAAGGATTCAACATGACTTCGAATATATGTTGTCCATTCTTTTATCTACTAATCCATCCTACATTACATTATGCATATTACCTATACTCATTTTATGCTTCATGCAGCACTGTGGATCAATTTAGCGGAGAAAGTGCTCCAGTTGTAATTTCGCTGGATGATAGGCAGGTTAGCAAGATCACTCCTCATATGGTGGAGTATAAAGAACTTATAGCAGAACTGGTTTTAGCATGTTTGGCTAAGATTAAAAAGTTTACCTTTAATAAATTTTACTAATAAGCAGGATAAGTTTTACTCTTCTTCCACTCGGTGTCATTGTTTAATATTATTGTCATTCTCAATAAAATAATGAATATGTAAGTTGAGAAACCAGGTAATCCCACTTGCAGAAAGGAACCACTACAAAAACTTGTAATTAGTAATGTGAAAATACTTATTAGATCATTAATTTGTTATCGATTTATATCCAAGTTTAAAATTTAGTATCTAGCCTGCTTATAATCTTCTTATAGTTTTGACAGATGATAAAAGGTCTGAAGGACGTATTGATAGGAATGAAAGCTGGAGGTTAGTATCTTTGTTGGATCATGAACTTTAAGCCAAATTTCACTTTCATCGTTAACGTGACATTTCACTTTGATCACTAAACTTTGAATTGTGAAGCACTTTTCCATAGCATTTAAAATATAAAAAAAAAAAACTAATGATTTTTCAAGCCAGTTTCAGCTATTCTGTCTGGCATATTAATATCAAAGTTTAGTATATTAACAGAGAAGTTGGAAGAAAAGAAGTTAGCTGACCAAAGTGAAACTTCACTATATATTTGGCAAGATTGGTTTTAACCCACAATATATCAATTTTTGGTTTTAACCCACAATATATCAATCACTTGAACTTCTATGGACATTTTTCAGGGAAGAGAAGAGCACTGGTACCTCCTTCTGTAGGATATATTAGCGAAAATTTGCAACCAATTCCTGAAGAGGTCTCCATCTAATTTTTCTGTTCTCAAACTTCAATATGATTCTTCTCTTCTATGTTTTCTTCTTCTTTAAAATATATATCCGGTTTTCTTGATGCATTTTATATTTCTTACTATGTTTTCTTCTTCTTTAAAATATATATCTAGTTTTCTCGATGCTGTTTACATTCAATATTTCATGTTTGCTCATGTTCTGTATGACACTTAAATCTACCTTTGCCATTAATCTGAAATTTAGCCTATGTTTATGATTTTTGGTTGCAGTTTGGTCCTCGACGTAGCCTTTTGTCTCATGCAAAGGAGCCTTTAGTTTTTGAAGTCCAGCTCTTGAAAGTATTATGAGTTTGTTTGTTTGTTTGATATTCGAATATTTCTTGAAATGCCAATTACCTGAAAAAATGTGTAGCTCAAAATAAAAATAAAAAATGAAGATGAAAATTGTTCCCTCCTGTTAGCTTGTCAAATTCAATTTTGGTGATTAAAGTGAGTGTTTTCTGCACTGGGAGGTTGTTGGATGCAAATTTGTGCATTGATGAATTCATTACACAAGCTCTTTGTTCTTTTTTTTTTTTCTTTTTTTTTTTTTTTTTTTTTTTTTTTTTTTATAATTTGAGTTTTTCTGCCTTTTTTTTTTT